TCATGTAAGGAGCTAAATGACATGTCTTGTAAGGAGCTAAATGACATGTCTTGTAAGGAGCTAAATGACATGTCTTGTGAGGAGCTAAATGACATGTCTTGTAAGGAGCTAAATGACATGTCATGTAAGGAGCTAAATGACATGTCTTGTAAGGCGCTAAATAACAAGTCTTGTAAGGAGCTAAATAACAAGTCTTGTAAGGAGCTAAATGACATGTCTTGTAAGGAGCTAAATGACATGTCTTGTAAGGAGCTAAATGACATGTCTTGTAAGGAGCTAAATGACATGTCTTGTAAGGAGCTAAATGACATGTCTTGTAAGGAGCTAAATGACATGTCTTGTAAGGAGCTAAATGACATGTCTTGTAAGGAGCTAAATGACATGTCTTGTAAGGAGCTAAAAGACATGTCTTGTGAGGAGCTAAATGACATGTCTTGTAAGGAGCTAAATGACATGTCTTGTAATGAGCTAAATGACAAGTCCTGTAAGGAGCTAAATGACATGTCATGTAAGGAGCTAAATGACATGTCTTGTAAGGAGCCAAATGACATGTCTTGTAAGGAGCTAAATGACATGTCTTGTAAGGAGCTAAATGACATGTCTTGTAATGAGCTAAATGACAAGTCCTGTAAGGAGCTAAATGACATGTCATGTAAGGAGCTAAATGACATGTCTTGTAAGGAGCTAAATGACATGTCTTGTAAGGAGCTAAATGACATGTCTTGTAAGGAGCTAAATGACATGTCTTGTAAGGAGCTAAATGACATGTCTTGTAAGGAGCTAAAAGACATGTCTTGTGAGGAGCTAAATGACATGTCTTGTAAGGAGCTAAATGACATGTCTTGTAATGAGCTAAATGACAAGTCCTGTAAGGAGCTAAATGACATGTCATGTAAGGAGCTAAATGACATGTCTTGTAAGGAGCTAAATGACATGTCTTGTAAGGAGCTAAATGACATGTCTTATGAGGAGCTAAATGACATGTCTTGTAAGGAGCTAAATGACATGTCATGTAAGGAGCTAAATGACATGTCTTGTAAGGAGCTAAATAACAAGTCTTGTAAGGAGCTAAATAACAAGTCTTGTAAGGAGCTAAATGACATGTCTTGTAAGGAGCTAAATGACATGTCTTGTAAGGAGCTAAATGACATGTCTTGTAAGGAGCTAAATGACATGTCTTGTAAGGAGCTAAATGACATGTCTTGTAAGGAGCTAAATGACATGTCTTGTAAGGAGCTAAATGACATGTCTTGTAAGGAGCTAAATGACATGTCTTGTAAGGAGCTAAATGACATGTCTTGTGAGGAGCTAAATGACATGTCTTGTAAGGAGCTAAATGACATGTCTTGTAATGAGCTAAATGACAAGTCCTGTAAGGAGCTAAATGACATGTCATGTAAGGAGCTAAATGACATGTCTTGTAAGGAGCTAAATGACATGTCTTGTAAGGAGCTAAATGACATGTCTTGTAAGGAGCTAAATGACATGTCTTGTAAGGAGCTAAATGACATGTCTTGTAAGGAGCTAAAAGACATGTCTTGTGAGGAGCTAAATGACATGTCTTGTAAGGAGCTAAATGACATGTCTTGTAATGAGCTAAATGACAAGTCCTGTAAGGAGCTAAATGACATGTCATGTAAGGAGCTAAATGACATGTCTTGTAAGGAGCCAAATGACATGTCTTGTAAGGAGCTAAATGACATGTCTTGTAAGGAGCTAAATGACATGTCTTGTAAGGAGCTAAATAACAAGTCTTGTAAGGAGCTAAATGACATGTCTTGTAAGGAGCTAAATGACATGTCTTGTAAGGAGCTAAATGACATGTCTTGTGAGGAGCTAAATGACATGTCTTGTAAGGAGCTAAATGACATGTCTTGTAAGGAGCTAAATGACATGTCTTGTAATGAGCTAAATGACAAGTCCTGTATGGAGCTAAATGACATGTCTTGTAAGGAGCTAAATGACACGTCTTGTAAGGAGCTAAATGACATGTCTTGTAAGGAGCTAAATGACATGTCTTGTAAGGAGCTAAATGACATGTCTTGTAAGGATCTAAATGACAAGTCTTGTAAGGAGCTAAATGACATGTCTATTTGCTGTTTGAAAAGATCCCAAGCAGCACTTGATGACCTCGTGTGTCTTGCTCTACAGACGCCTGGCACTATGATTGGATCGTCTGGGCCAGACCAACCTCGAACCAACCATGCGTGTCACCACTATCGAAAATACCTGCGCATTACGTTGTATGACCCATATGGCGTCGTATGGCCGACATAACATCGTATGGCCGACATAACGTCGTTTGATCCACATAACGTTGTATGACCCACATGGCGTCGTATGGCCGACAGAACGTCGTTTGATCCACTTAGCGTCGGCCGGTGCTACTCCGCATGTAGTTGTTCTACATGTAGTTGCGATGTTCTACGAGACATGCACTGATGGTTGTGTGTCGTTCGTTGTGTAGATGGTGTCCTTCAGGTGGAGGGGTGATCAAGTGCGAGAGTTGGATCGGGTCATCCAGTGCACACCCATTTGGGACATTCGAGCTACATCAGAGCAGGTTGCATGTCATCGGTGGGCATTTTACAGAAAAAAAGTCACAAGAAAAAAAGACATGTCTGTTTGCATGGAATTTGTTAATACTTATATGTAATTCCGTTTTATATATAATATTTAATAGAATTTTATGTTCGAACCTTCTCGATTTCAATCGTGTTTTTTAAATACTAACTTACAATTAGCGTAAAATAGCATAAAAACATAGTTAGTGTGACTTGCTGTCTTCAGCTAATCACAAGAATAGTTCAACCACCTTTCCTGCCCACATTTATCACGCACATTACATAACAGTCTAGTATCATAATAGAAAGCCGGCACGGTACAAAGGCTGTCATTGACGCAAAACGTAAACAACACACAATATGGACGGACAAGGCCGACTGAGGAGAAGCCGACTAAGATAAGGCATACGGCGAAAAGATTTGCAAACAGGGATATTGATAAGCCTAAGTTTATTTTATAATGGAGAGAAATTGACAAAGCTTGATCAGGTGATAATCAGTTTTATTCAGATACACATGTAACTGTCAAAGATTGTATGTGTGACTGTTGGTCAAAGATTGTATATGCGTCAGTTGGTCAAAGATTGTATATGCGTCAGTTGGTCAAAGATTGTATATGCGTCAGTTGGTCAAAGATTGTATATGCGTCAGTTGGTCAAAGATTGTATATGCGTCAGTTGGTCAACGATTGTATATGTGTCAGTTGGTCTAAGATTGTATGTGTGACTGTTGGTCTAAGATTGTATATGCGTCAGTTGGTCAAAGATTGTATATATGTCAGTTGGTCTAAGATTGTATGTGTGTCAGTTGGTCTACGATTGTATATGCGTCAGTTGGTCTAAGATTGTATATGCGTCAGTTGGTCAAAGATTGTATATGCGTCAGTTGGTCAAAGATTGTATGTGTGACTGTTGGTCTACGATTGTATATGCGTCAGTTGGTCAAAGATTGTATATGCGTCAGTTGGTCAAAGATTGTATATGCGTCAGTTGGTCAAAGATTGTATGTGTGTCAGTTTGTAAAAGATTGTATATGCTTCAGTTGGTCAAAGATTGTATATGCGTCAGTTGGTCAAAGATTGTATATGCTTCAGTTGGTCAAAGATTGTATATGCGTCAGTTGGTCAAAGATTGTATATGCGTTTGCTGGTCAAAGATTGTATATGCGTCAGTTGGTCAACGATTGTATATGCGTCAGTTGGTCAAAGATTGTATGTGTGTCAGTTTGTAAAAGATTGTATATGCTTCAGTTGGTCAAAGATTGTATATGCGTCAGTTGGTCAAAGATTGTATATGCTTCAGTTGGTCAAAGATTGTATATGCTTCAGTTGGTCAAAGATTGTATATGCGTCAGTTGGTCAAAGATTGTATATGCGTTTGTTGGTCAAAGATTGTATATGCGTCAGTTGGTCAAAGATTGTATATGCTTCAGTTGGTCTAAGATTTTATGTGTGATAGATTAGTTCATGGGGATACACCACCTCTTGTGCTGAATCCGTGCTTCTATAATTAGCCAAGCAAACAAGGAACCGCGGCAGGTGAAATCGTCAACAAGTCTGGAGGAGCGGTCTGTAGGTCATTGGGTTCAATGTGGTGCTGTCACAGCAATTCTCACGTTAGTGCTGTCACACAATGATCACGTTAGTGACGTCACACAATGATCACGTTAGTGACGTCACACAATCCTCACATTAGTGCTATCACACAAAGGTCACGTGAAACGACTCTAGATTTGCCCAACACACTATGTCTAGTCCCTTTCAATTGGTCCATACAGTACCCCATAGACGATAATATCCATATAGACCATACATATCCCTGTAGACCATACATATCCCTGTAGAGAGGCCCCAGCTATTGATTATGCTGACTACTGGTACATAACCACAATCAGATAAAAACACTATCATCCAGGTGTAAGGTAGATAACACCGCCTACCAAAGACTGTTGTGATGACGTACGGATGGACGCCAATGTTCAATAGGTGCCTGCACTTGACGACCCTGCTTCAAGCGACGCAGTTGATGAACGCCTTACCTGTTAGGTAACTTTGTTTCACCTCTCAGCCGTAACTTGTGCACCCTATCTGTAATGGCGTTCTATTTTTGTGCGCGCCTGTGTTTGACCTCCTTCTAGCGGTGTCACTAAGGACACTCGCGACACCGCGATAGAAATCGTTTAGCTTCGGTAGGCGTCGAGATATATCGGTACGCATGCGCGAGGTTCTAAAAACAACAATCGTCCCACGGACATTTTTCACACGCCAGCCAAATTCATTCATAAAATTTGAAGGGCATAGTCCTACGCTGCTCGCCAATCTGATTTCATGTATTAAAAAAAAATTGTGACATGCGCATTGATACAAGGAACTATTTTGTGTTTGTGAGGTGTCGGTTATTAATGCATTGCTGTCATCAGCTCAAGTCAGTTGTAGGACGCTCTTGAGACGTACACATTATCACTGCCATGGTTTCATTCTTGTCGTTCTATGAAGATTTGGATTAGTGAACTACACACAAATAAACAAACAAGCTTTAAATATATGTAAGTAATGTCTTCTATATGTTTACTTGTTTAAAAAGTTGAGTCTACACTTAGATTTGTTTAACAATCATAATCAAATTCAATGAGTTGTTTGAATTGCCACGAGCGGGAATTTCCCGAACATCTTTCACTCTAGGTGGTCTTTTGGTAGTTGAAGTTAATTTACTAGATAGCCGCTCATATGATATGGTAGGGGGAGAGGTGGGGTGGGGAGCCTAACGGGATACAACAAGATATCGAACTTCGAATAAAAAAATTAAAAACTATTTTATTACAGATCAATTATTTTTTTTACCTACAATGTACACAGACGCCATTTTTGATCAGGAGCTCGACCAGACAGTTCCATGTACACCTGAGCGCAGCACATTAGAAGACATGTTCTGTCATGATGGAGACGCCAGCACATTAGAAGACATGTTCTGTCAAGATGGAGACGCCAGCTCAACTGATTTTTTCTTGCCCAGCAAGTCATCCAACATATCCGTATTACCAGAGTTAGCCTCAGGTGCACACAGATCGCACTCAGGTGCACACAGATCGCACTCAGGTGCACACAGATCGCACTCAGGTGCACACAGTGTATGGCCAGGTGTTCAACTCAGTCCATTTCCTAGCCACACATACAGTGCTTCTGAGCTTTCCACAAGTGAAGACTTGACTAGCCCCGCCACTAACACTGCCACTAGTCCCGCCACTGGCCATGACCTAATGAGATTCCACTCAATGTGGTCAGACAGTGTGCCATCTCTACTGCAGTCATCGCCAGTAAAATATGACTTAAGTCACCGACCCAAGAGTGACAGTGTTGCGTGGTCTGACGACGAGGGTCGAACAGGGTATAGAGATGACGTCATGAAACTGGACACACCCGATAGGGTTTGCCTGACGCCACTCCACGCAAACAACCAGTGCACCAGTGCACTAGACTCGCCCTGCAGTAGTTCCCCTAATTTTCAACGGTGCGCCTGGGTGCACCGCGCACAGATGACGTCACCGCCCACCATGTCGAGTGCCGCCTTGACTGGCGGAGCCAGTAAACAACCCCCGAGCTACGCCCAGCACATACAGGCCCAGGGTAGGGAGGTGCCCAGCAGCCCCGACCCCCAGGGTGGGGACGTGGCGACCGACAATCTGCTAGATGACATCATGGAATGTATTCAAGATGGCGGCTTTTCTCAAGGTAAGAGCACACTAGACTCACTAACACCTTCATTAGATTATGGAGGCCACAGAGTTGATAAAATCTTCTATCATAATGTTGACACGAAAAAATTTAATTCGCCATTGTTTTAAACCTAACGGTCTTTAGGGCGTGAAGTACGGTTCACTTGTTTCTGTGACCTCGGCATATGAAGAGATAGTGTGGTCAGCACTATGCTCAGCCGCCTTTACTTTTCCTAACGTGAGTTAGGTACCCCACAGAGTTGGGAGGACTCAGGGACAGTCTACTGATAGAACCCGGATTCGAACTCAATATTTATGGTCCAGCTCTCTACCGCTAGACCAATCCGTCCCTTTTAATTCCCTATTACCACGTGAAAACCAAATTAATTTGGCGTTGTTGTTTTTTACTTTCTCGTATATACGTAGTATAGAGAAAGTATTGTAATCGTGCAAAAAAAAAATCGAGATTTTTACAAATCTCGACGTTTTACACCTCACTGATACGGAAAAACATAATTTTGCAATCTTGTCCGTATGTCTGTGTGTGTGTGTGTCTGTCTGTGTGTGTGTCTGTCCGTGTGTAAACACGATAACTTGAGTACCGTTACAGCTAGGTTGATGAAATTTCATATATAAGTATTTTATCAAAATCGTAGATCCGTATCAACTTTTGAGCGATTTCCGATAACCGGAAGTGGTACTTTTCCTACTTTGAATTTTTTAAAAGCCTATAACTTGAGTACTATTTCAGATAGATAAATGAAATTTCACATGTAAGTAAAAGATCTAATTCTCTACCTTCTGTTAAATTTTGAGTAATTTCCGTTGACAGGAAGTAGTAATTTACGCTACTTCCGATTTCTCAAAAAACTAATGTAAATTTTAAAAGTACTAATAATATTGCGCACTATTATGCGCTTTTTTATTTCGCGTTCACTTGGTGTGCAATTAATTTGTCTACGAGATTTTATTCTATTTTTAAAACTTTAAGTATTTAAAATGGATTAAAAATCATGTCTATAGCCCGAGTTCCCATCCCCTGTTATTTTATATAAAAATATTCGAGAAAGTTTAGGGGAGATCACTACCGGTTTATTTTTAATTGTGTTTAATTACGGAAAATACTAAAACGTCAAATACATCCATTCTTTTTTAAAGTCCGAAAAAAAAACAGGATTTTATAACCTTATTAATTTTAATTATACCGCGCATGGTTTTTAAAATGTTGAATGGGCCTCTCGAATACCTTTGAGACTATTCTCGCTTGGGTCAATTACATCTGTAATTGGACCAGTTACATCTGGATTGGTCTTCATTATGTAATTACATATTGATTGGCCTACATTTTTGTAATTATATATTGATTAGCCTTCATTATGTAATGACTGATTGGCATATGCTCGTAACATTTTTTGCATATATTCATATGGTATGTGCACATGCATGCATTCCTTTTGTTTTTCTTAATGAATTGTAACAGTGTAGCTGCTCTATTTTCAAATGACTGTCTATTCGTTTGTTCCGCGTTTGCTCAAGTTTTGTTTTGGTATTTCAACAGCTTACCTTGACCTACACACTTCGGCAAGCACTGACGTCAGCACGAGAGGGCGAGAAGTGACGTCACTGTCCACATTCAAGAAGGTGGACGCAGGAGAGAGAATGAGGGAGCTGGCGGCGGTCATCCTGGCAGGTCAGTTCAGGTGACGTCATCAGGGTAACCTGATGCAATACCTCATCATATGACGTCATCATATGACATAATAAATCAGGTGGTAAACAGCAGTAATCGACCCCTCACCCCAATACCCCACACCCCAATACCAAATACCCCACACCCCATACTAAAATACCCAATACCCCACACCTCAATACCCCACACCCCAATACCCCACACCCCAATACCCCACACCACAACACCCCAAATCCCACACCACAATACCCCACACCCCAATACCCCACACCCAGACCCCAATACCCCACACCCAGACCCCAATACCCCACACCCCAATACCCCACACCCACACCCCAATACCCAATACCCCAATACCATACACCCCAATTCCCCACACCACAAAAACCCCACACCACAGACCCCAATACCCCACACCCGTATACCCCACACCCCAATACCCCACACCCCAATACCCCACACCCCAATACCCCACACCCAGACCCCAATACCCCACACCCAGACCCCAATACCCCACACCCAGACCCCAATACCCCACACCCCAATACCCCACACCCAGACCCCAATACCCCACACCCAGACCCCAATACCCCACACCCAGACCCCAATACCCCACACCCAGACCCCAATACCCCACACCCAGACCCCAATACCCCACACCCCAATACCCCACACCCCAATACCCCACACCCCAATACCCAATACCCCAATACCCCACACCCCAATACCCCACACCCCAATACCCAATACCCCAATACCATACACCCCAATTCCCCACACCACAAAAACCCCACACCACAGACCCCAATACCCCACACCCGTATACCCCACACCCCAATACCCCACACCCCAATACCCCACAACCCAATACCCCAATACCTCACACCCCAATACTCCAGACCCCACTACCCCACACCTCGATACCCCTATACCCCACACCCCAATACCCCACACCCAAGACCCCTATACCCCACACCCCAATACCCCACACCCCAATACCCCACACCCAAGACCCCTATACCCCACACCCCAATACCCCACACCCCAATACCTCACACCCAAATACTCCAGACCCCAATACCCCACACCCCAATACCCCACACCCCAATACCCCACACCCCAATACCCCACACCCAAGACCCCTATACCCCACACCCCAATACCCCACACCCCAATACCCCACACCCAAGACCCCTATACCCCACACCCCAATACCCCACACCCCAATACCTCACACCCAAATACTCCAGACCCCAATACCCCACACCCCAATACCCCACACCCAAGACCCCTATACCCCACACCCCAATACCCCACACCCCAATACCTCACACCCAAATACTCCAGACCCCTATACCCCACACCCCAATACCCCACACCCCAATACCCCACACCCCAATACCCCACACCCAAGACCCCTATACCCCACACCCCAATACCCCACACCCCAATACCCCACACCCAAGACCCCTATACCCCACACCCCAATACCCCACACCCCAATACCTCACACCCAAATACTCCAGACCCCAATACCCCACACCCCAATACCCCACACCCAAGACCCCTATACCCCACACCCCAATACCCCACACCCCAATACCTCACACCCAAATACTCCAGACCCCAATACCCCACACCCCAATACCCCACACCCCAATACCCCACACCCCAATACCCCACACCCCATACCTCACACCAAAGACCCCTATACCCCACACCCCAATACCTCACACCCCAATACTCCAGACCCCAATACCCCTAACTCCAATACCAAATACCTCACACCTCACACCCCAATACCTTTCACCCCACACCACATATATACTTAATCACTCCTCCCGCTCAGGATATTTTACTATGGTCCCCCCCCCCCCCTTCCCTGAGAAAAAAAATATCTGAAGGAAACCTTGCATACTGTCACGTCGCTAAGAAATTTTAAGACGGTTGACCTTGACCTGAGCTCTTCGTAGTCAGGGGGTGGGGGGAAGGTGTCGGAAAAAATCGATGAAAAAAAATGCCTTATTATGAAATATTTCGAATTACTTGTTGATAGTTGTGAAATATTGAACTTTTATAAAAGTGGTTTGTGTAATTTTGTTTGTCCAAACTTAAAGCTTAACTTTGAGCTGCCCTAACTTTGAGCTGTCCTAACTTTGAGCTGTCCAAACTTGAAGCCTAACTTTGAGCTGTCCTAACTTTGAGCTGTCCTAACTTTGAGCTGTCCAAACTTTGAGCTGTCCTAACTTTGAGCTGTCCTAACTTGAAGCCTAACTTTGAGCTGTCCTAACTTTGAGCTGTCCTAAATTTGAGCTGTCCTAACTTTGAGCTGTCCTAACTTTGAGCTGTCCTAACTTTGAGCTGTCCAAACTTGAAGCCTAACTTTGAGCTGTCCTAACTTTGAGCTGTCCTAACTTTGAGCTGTCCTAACTTTGAGCTGTCCAAACTTTGAGCTGTCCAAACTTTGAGCTGTCCTAACTTTGAGCTGTCCTAACTTTGAGCTGTCCTAACTTTGAGCTGTCCAAACTTGAAGCCTAACTTTGAGCTGTCCTAACTTTGAGCTGTCCAAACGTGAAGCCTAACTTTGAGCTGTCCTAACTTTGAGCTGTCCAAAATTTGAGCTGTCCTAACTTTGAGCTGTCCTAACTTTGAGCTGTCCAAACTTTGAGCTATCCAAACTTTGAGCTGTCCTAACTTTGAGCTGTCCAAACTTGAAGCCTAACTTTGAGCTGTCCAAACTTTGAGCTGTCCTAACTTTGAGCTGTCCTAACTTTGAGCTGTCCTAACTTTGAGCTGTCCTAACTTTGAGCTGTCCTAACTTGAAGCCTAACTTTGAGCTGTCCTAACTTTGAGCTGTCCTAACTTTGAGCTGTCCAAACTTTGAGCTGTCCAAACTTTGAGCTGTCCTAACTTTGAGCTGTCCTAACTTTGAGCTGTCCTAACTTGAAGCCTAACTTTGAGCTGTCCTAACGTTGAGCTGTCCAAACTTTGAGCTGTCCAAACTTTGAGCTGTCCTAACTTTGAGCTGTCTTAACTTTGAGCTGTCCTAACTTTGAGCTGTCCTAACTTTGAGCTGTCCTAACGTTGAGCTGTCCAAACTTTGAGCTGTCCTAACTTTGAGCTGTCCAAACTTTGAGCTGTCCTAGCTTTGAGCTGTCCTAACTTTGAGCTGTCCTAACTTTGAGCTGTCCTAACTTTGAGCTGTCCTAACTTTGAGCTGTCCAAACTTTGAGCTGTCCTAACTTTGAGCTGTCCAAACGTGAAGCCTAACTTTGAGCTGTCCTAACTTTGAGCTGTCCAAACTTTGAGCTGTCCTAACTTTGAGCTGTCCTAACTTTGAGCTGTCCAAACTTTGAGCTGTCCAAACTTTGAGCTGTCCTAACTTTGAGCTGTCCAAACTTGAAGCCTAACTTTGAGCTGTCCAAACTTTGAGCTGTCCTAACTTTGAGCTGTCCTAACTTTGAGCTGTCCTAACTTGAAGCCTAACTTTGAGCTGTCCTAACTTTGAGCTGTCTTAACTTTGAGCTGTCCTAACTTTGAGCTGTCCTAACTTTGAGCTGTCCTAACGTTGAGCTGTCCTAACTTTGAGCTGTCCTAACTTTGAGCTGTCCTAACTTTGAGCTGTCCAAACTTTGAGCTGTCCTAACTTTGAGCTGTCCAAACTTTGAGCTGTCCTAACTTTGAGCTGTCCTAACTTTGAGCCGTCCTAACTTTGAGCTGTCCTAACGTTAAGCTGTCCAAACTTTGAACTGTCCAAACTTTGAGCTGTCCTAACTTTGAGCTGTCCAAACTTTGAGCTGTCCTAACTTTGAGCTGTCCTAACTTTGAGCTGTCCAAACTTTGAGCTGTCCTAACTTTGAGCTGTCCAAACTTTGAGCTGTCCTAACTTTGAGCTGTCCTAACTTTGAGCTGTCCAAACTTTGAGCTGTCCAAACTTTGAGCTGTCCTAACTTTGAGCTGTCCTAACTTTGAGCTGTCCAAACTTTGAGCTGTCCAAACTTTGAGCTGTCCAAACTTTGAGCTGTCCAAACTTTGAGCTGTCCAAACTTTGAGCTGTCCTAACTTTGAGCTGTCCAAACTTTGAGCTGTCCTAACTTTGAGCTGTCCTAACTTTGAGCTGTCCAAACTTTGAGCTGTCCTAACTTTGAGCTGTCCAAACTTTGAGCTGTCCAAACTTTGAGCTGTCCAAACTTTGAGCTGTCCAAACTTTGAGCTGTCCAAACTTTGAGCTGTCCAAACTTTGAGCTGTCCAAACTTTGAGCTGTCCTAACTTTGAGCTGTCCTAACTTTGAGCTGTCCAAACTTTGAGCTGTCCAAACTTTGAGCTGTCCAAACTTTGAGCTGTCCTAACTTTGAGCTTCCAAACTTTGAGCTGTCCTAACTTTGAGCTGTCCAAACTTTGAGCTGTCCTAACTTTGAGCTGTCCTAACTTTGAGCTGTCCAAACTTTGAGCTGTCCTAACGTTGAGCTGTCCTAACTTTGAGCTGTCCTAACTTTGAGCTGTCCTAACTTTGAGCTGTCCAAACTTTGAGCTGTCCTAACTTTGAGCTGTCCAAACTTTGAGCTGTCCAAAGTTTGAGCTGTCCAAACTTTGAGCTGTCCTAACTTTGAGCTGTCCAAACTTTGAGCTGTCCAAAGTTTGAGCTGTCCTAACTTTGAGCTGTCCAAACTTTGAGCTGTCCTAACGTTGAGCTGTTCCTGTTGGCAGGGAGCGGGCAGGTACAGCTGTGGCAGTTCTTGCTGGAGCTGCTAGCTGAGAGCTGTAACGAGAGCTGTATCAAGTGGCTGGGCAACAAGGGCGAGTTCCGCATGGTTGACCCTGAGGAAGTGGCTAGGAGGTGGGGCATCAGGAAAAACAAGGTAAGACAGACTTTTGACACAAACTGCCTAACATTTTAGGCAGATCTTACTACGACATTTTAGAGCAAAGATGATAAAGATGACCTTGAATGTGTATAAAAATGACCGTGAATGTGTATAAAGATTACCTTGAATGTGTATAAAGATGACCTTGAATGTATAAAGCTGACCGTGAATGTGTATAAAGATGACCGTGAATGTGTATAAAGATGACCTTGAATGTGTATAAAGATGACCTTGAATGTATAAAGATGACCGTGAATGTGTATAAAGATTACCTTGAATGTGTATAAAGATGACCTTGAATGTATAAAGATGACCGTGAATGTGTATAAAGATGACCGTGAATGTGTATAAAGATGACCTTGAATGTGTATAAAGATGACCTTGAATGTGTATAAAGACGACCTTGAATGTGTATAAAGATGACCTTAAATGTGTATAAAGATGACTGAGGTCCTGTCATTTCCAGCCCAACATGAACTACGACAAAGTGAGCCGGGCCATGAGATACTACTACGATAAGGCCATCTTGTCCAAGGTCCATGGCAAGCGCTACACCTATCGTTTCAACTTCCACGTCATTGCCTCCACCCAGCACAAGGGCGTGGCCAACACATCGGACTTTGCCCAACTGCTGACTCAGATCACCAGCCCGCCATCTGCCCACAAGTGCACGTCACACCGCGAATGTCCAACAATACATCACACAACCTCAACCCGAGCCAACATTTACGACCGTCTAGACGGCAACTTCCCCAACTTCTGTCCAGATGTCAGTGACGTCATCAGCAACTTGACCTCTGAAGCTCCGAGTAAGAGACATCCAACACCCGATCTTATGACGGACCAAGAACTGAGTATACAATGTGATTATTTCAGTCAGACAAACGTGAAGGACACACATTTGACCAACACAAACATGACGGACACACATTTGACCAACACAAACATGACGGACATACACCGCATCCGTCACCAACCCATGTCCACACCAGCAGATTTGACACTCAGTCCTGACCCAGATTTCTCCATGACGGTTAATGCAGCGTCAGCCGACTCCAGACGCAGACAATGGGTTGTTGACTCCAGATGCAGGCAGCCAGTTGATGAGCAGAGAAGCCACTTGGGTGCTATCCGCTGCGCCAGTCCCTACCAGAGACACCGGTCCTACTCAGACTTCCTGCAGCGCCGTGTCTCCACAGAGAAGCGCCACAGTCTCCCAGCCAATCTCAGTTCCTCCATTGACCTTCAACTCTACCCAGGTCAAGGCTGCTCTAGCATCAGCATGGATCTTGTCGACAGCAACCATAACATAAAGTGGGGTCAGAGGTCAGCCAGTCAGCAGCTAGCAAGTCAGCAGCTAGCCAGCCAGCCTCTAGCTAGCCAGCAGCTAGCCAGTCAGCCTCTAGCCAGCCAGCAGCTAGCCAGCCAGCCTCTAGCTAGCCAGCAGCTAGCCAGCCACCAAAACAAACACTTGCCCGGCAGGTCATCGCGACCCCACAGCTCAGAAAACGGGTTCCACTTAAACAGCGACCCATCTGACACGGGCCCTGCAGCTAATGGTGCCCATCTGCCAACAGCCTGTTCTACTCCATACAGCCTTGCCTTCTGCTGTTTTACGCCGGTAAATTCTATGGCTGTCTCTGTGAACAACAGATGTACGGTGACGTCATCAAACTTATTCCATAATTCACATATAAGTGATTAATTAATTGATTACTGGTGTTTCAATGAAGAGTAAGTTTTAAAAAAAAAATATCGATCAACCTGTTATAATGTGATATTCTAATGCACAAACACAGAATACAAACATTAATACTAAAAGCATATTACTATGTAATATAATCAACGCAAATCTAAAACTGTGATTTATATCAAACACATCATTTCGTGTCATATCTTGTACCTAATTTATTTTTCATGTTTTTTTGGCTTTCAGTGTGGCACTTAGTAATTATGTAGGCAGTTTATCACTTGCGTTTTAACTGCAGTTTAAAAGTTTAGTCTTTTATTTAAAATATCGTCCATCGCCATACCGATTGTTGGGAAAAAATTCACTGGCAAAAAAAGTCACATAGGTATACATGCATGGAATTTGTTAATCCTTTTATCTCTTCAGAAAGTGTAAATAAAAATGTAAAGTAAACATTTTATATATAAATGCGTAGGTTGCATTTGTATGGTAATATTTATGACACACGTAAAACTATTTACTTTATTTAGTCTGAAGCATTTAGGTTTAAATTCCGTTAAAGAATTCAATTGAATGCAATGCTCCAACCTACTCAGTTTTCATCGTGTTTTAAAATACAAACATTAAATCGGCATGAAATGAGAAGAAGACACAGCTAATAAGATGTGCTGTCCTCTACTTATCTTAATGACAGGTCAGACACCTTTACTGCCCACATGTATCATTCTAGTTACATAACAAAGAAAAGACGATGTGGACGGACGAAGCCGAGATAGGAAAGGCCTACGGCAAAAACGCAATGATGTGCCTAAACTTGTGTAATTTTATTTTCCAACCAGGTATTCAAACATAAATGTAAAAAAAAGTTAAGGATGCTGTGTGAATTATCTTAAAGTATTTTTTACTTATTGTAAAGATAAAAGCCAGATTATTATTAAAAATCATAATGCTTTTACAGTTTATAAATATGTTACTAACTAAAAACAATATCCATTATTATAAACAGCAAAATATTTTCAATTCCATCACGTAAATCAAAATATTTCTTAACACACGTATGTGACTTTATTTCCGATAAAAAAAATTTGCTCTTTGACTTTTCTCTCTGTCAAAAACTGACTTTTTTCCTGTGACTTTTTTCCACTCACCCTTCATAACATATCCATACAATCTCTTACCATTCCTGTACCATCTAGATACCAACACCATAACATATCCATACAATCTCTTACCATTCCTGTACCATCTAGATACCAACACCATAACATATCCATACAATCTCTTACCATTCCTGTACCATCTATATACCAACGCCATAACATATCTACTACCATCCAAGTACAGTTTTTATATGACCCTTACACCATCCCCAATCCATCTCCAGACAATCTTCATACAATCTCCATACCATCTTATAATCTTTAATCTTCATACCATCCACTTACGCTTAATATACCATCCCCATGCCATGTTTAATACTTAACTTAAGTATTATACTTAAGTATAACTGAGTATAGCCGGAGTGATAGGATTCATTGACCTAAATCTTTGTATGCGCCTATTAAATCATCTTGTACATATCAAATCGCCCAGTGTTACCTTCAACTTTAGATATTCTACAAAATGTACATTTGTTGGTTTTGTACTTTTATAGGCCTATTGATTATGTAATTACTATTGTTTAGTATGTACAGTTATTAAATTATCTTTAAATTACCTTTGATTTTTAATAATACAAATTATTTTTATGTTATTCGGTTTTTATATTTTGTTATATTGCTATTTAGTACAAAACAAGTTAATAAAAAGTCTAGTGAGAATTTAAGCGCAATTTACTTAATTTATTTTTTGTGACCGAACGGAAGGATATTTTTGAAAACTTTTTTCGGCAATATTGTTCTAAATTATGGCAGGAATCGATTGGTAAATGTTTCAAGTCGCTAAGTGGTCTGGTTGCCGAGATATGGGCCAAAACTGCATTTTTTCGAGGTTTTTTGGCTTTTCCGGGAAATCCAGGAAAGAATTCCGGGAATTTTTTTGGCCCACAATCATCCTCGGAACTTGCTTAACATATTTGCTTTTGAAACTAGTCCTCGGTATTGCTTCGTTGAGGAGGAGATACGACTTAAAGCTGCGGACACACATCCATCCAGAAATAACGAATTAATAATCGCAATTGTCAGTATGGAAATTGCGCTAAAAATGTGAATGCAGGTTGCGCGGACGTCCATGAAAGCATAGTTGTTGGAATATCATTCTCATTAACACTGATTGATATAGTGCAATGTGGTAGGTAAAAAACGGATATTTTAAATACTGCCTTTCATTTATTTTATACACTGAACGTACTATTTACAAATTATTATTTTTAATCAATAACGGTTCAGAAGCCGCCCCTAAATGTCGTCTGTGTTTACTTCTATCTTTGGGTTTGCGGACAAGTTGGTGTATTATACTCTTTCACTAGATTGAATAAGGCTGGTCCGCCGGTGCCCCGGCAGGTTTCGATTTGGCGCCCTTTGCTATTATGTTAGCGCTATGGTGCATACTCTTGTTTTAAACAGTGCCATACGCTGTGGGTAAAAAGGGTTACTATAGTGCTTCACGAAATTAAAACCAGGGAGTTCTCCGGCGCGCCCGTCCTTCGCGTGATCGCTATGGCACCTACGTTCGTTTTATACAGTGCTATAGGCTACAGATAAGAAGGGTTACTGAAGTTCTTCACTAAATTGAATTCAGGGCGTCCTCCAGCGCACAAGAAGCAAGAGTGCTATATGGCGCCCCTGGCATCCGCGTGAGCACTATGGCGCCTACGTTCTTTTAAGTGAGGGCAATAAGCTATGGATAATTTGGGGTATCATAGTCATTTGCTAAGTGAATCGGACAGTTGCGCCGGCGTCCCGGCAGATGCGATTTGACGCTCCGGGCTAGATTGTGAGCAATCAGCGTTTATGTTTGCATTTAATTATGTGTTTTTGTTATGCGCTATTGTTTGCGCTTAGGTTTGTGTTTACAGTTGCGTTAGCTTTTTTGTTTGCGTTTGCGTTTTCTTTTGTGTTTGGGTTGTGTTTGGTTTTGTGTGTTTTCTGTTGGTATTTAGTTTTGTTCTGTTCCTTTAGTTGGTACATTTAAAAAAGATTCACTCTAAACCTAACGCTATCCACATTCAAAACATAAACCATCACCAGAACTATAAACATAGATATTAACCCTCTCCTCTTCCCTCATCAAATCGCACATTGTCGGGGCGCCAGATGACGCGGTTGATTCGATTACGTGAAAGTTTATGGTAGCCCATCGTATCCGTAATGTATCACATTCTTTGAAACGAACGTAGAAGCCATAGTGCTCCCTGCCCTTAAAAAAACAATTACTGAATTATATTCAGGAGAAGTAAAGAAAATACTACTATTTGGCATTACGGCTTTTCAATATTTTTTCTATGACTAACTGCCGAAATCGGCGTTTCTCTGCATAACTTCTCGATATCTGCATAGGTCGGATCCTCATCTATGTGCTTCAAAGGCCGACACCCAAAAGGATGAAATCGACAAAAGACCGACATTTAAAAAGCCGACGGGACATAAGGCCAAAATTTAAAAACAGCAGACAACCAAAAAGCCGACATACCATAGGGCCGACAAAGATGAAGATCCTAATATAGAAAATTATGGATTCCTATATATGAGCCATAAAGGCATACAGTTAAGTCTAATTTGATGTCACATTGCATTATAATCGTGTCTTGATCCAAGTACTAAGTTTTAAACGAGTCGGTCAGTTAGAAGTGCTCGAAATTTTGCTCGGCAGTTTCGATCTATGACGACAGACAGAGAAGCACTTAAATATAAGTTAAATATAACGTTTTAATAACAAGCTTTTATATAATTACTAGCCGGCCAGGCCCTGCACTGGGGGCATCTCTGAAAAACGTATCTGTAACGGATCAAAACTTGTATGTTTAGTAATCAGCATTTACCCGGCATTGCCCACCCTAACCACAACCAACGAAAACACACAAAAAACGCAAACATAACACTAACACAAAACAAACACAAACGAAAACTCAAAAACAAACGCAAAGACAAACCCAACCACAAACACAAAGAAAACACAAACACTAACGCAAACAAAAAAGAAACAAATCCAAGCACAAACCCAACCACAACCAAACAAAACCAAAACACACCCAAAAAAAAAAAACAAAAAAACAACAACGCAAACATAACACAAATACAAACACAAACGAAAACAAAAAAGCAAACGCAAACACAAACACAACCACAAACACAAAGAAAACACAAAGGCAAAGAAAAAAGCAAACGAAAACAAACCAAAATCCAAACGCAAACACAACCACAAACGCAAAGCCAAATTCAAACACAAAGAAAACACAAACACAAAGATAAACTCAAAGTGTCCACAGTCTAGCCCGGGGCGCCAAATCGCACCATGACGACGTCCGGTGTAACCGCTTGATTCAACTTAGTAAACGACAAAGTACCCAACTTATTCATAGTTTTTTTAACTCACTTACGCGAACGTAGGTACCATAGCGAACACGGGAAGGCCCGGAGCGCCAAATAGCACCCTGTTCGGGTGCCGGAGGACGCCCGCATTTGATTCACTTAAAGACTATAGAAACCTTTCTTATTCATAGTCTATCGCACTGTTTAAAACGAAATTATGCACCATAGCGCTCACAAGATAGCCCAGGGCTAAATCGAACCGTGGAGGGGCGCCGGCGGACGCGCCTGTTTCAATTTAGTGAACAAAATTATAATACTCCAAGCTTATCCGTAAATGGAAAGAATTAAACATCAGAGGCGTAGCGACCCTTCCCGGCCCCGGGGACAAACTTTCAATTTGGCGCCCCCTCGGGAGCAAATTATGATTTCCACCCCCTCAAACTTTCGATTTGCAGCCCCCCCCCCCCCTCAAACTTTCAATTTGCACCCCACCCCTCAAACTTTCGATTTGCACCCCCCTCAAACTATAATTTGTTTTTCCAACCCATTTTGGCGCCCCCTAAGGTCGGCGCCCGGGGACATATGTACCCCCTCGCCGCCCCCTCGCTACGCCTGTTAAACATACAGGATTTGTAGGACCTGGCTTATTAACTGTTATTGATTTTAAAAAATAATTAGTAAACAGTAGCCTACGTTCAGTGTATGGAATAAATAAAAGGCAGTATTAAAAATACCAACGACATTACACTTAATCAATCCCCACTAATTATTTAAAAACTTTTTTCCTAACACCAAAAACAAAGTAATAAAAAGTAAAGTCTTTCTCCCCCCCCCCCCCCCCCGATTTAATGGGTTTTTTTAAGGGAAGTAACTGTGTTTTCCAAATCAAGGGACATTATGAGAACTAAAGGACAAAATGCAAATACATTTCAGACACAATTTTAGAAATTTTATAAACGTTGATACACTTTTTAAAACAAGGTAATTAAAAAGTCTAGTGACAATTTTAGCGCAATTTCTTTATGTTATCTAAAAATAGCTCTGTCGTAGCGTAAATCAAGAGCAGGGTTAGTAAAACCATTGGTTAAAATACATGTATTATTTACAATAGAGTTACATGACTAAAAACCATTGCGCGCCTAGCTACTGAACGTGATGACGCAGCCATTGAACGTGATGACGCGTGTGGTGTGGTTGGATAAAAATGCCTACTAATTTGGTCCAAATTTTAATAAATTAAAAAAAATTTTTGTGACCGAACAAAAGGATATTTTTGAAAACTTTCTTCGGCAATATTGTTCTAAATTATGGCAGGAATCGATTGGTACATGTTTCAAGTCGCTAAGTGGTCTGGTTGCCGAGATATGGGCCAAAAACTGCCTTTTATTTATTTTAAACACTGAACAGCCAACAGTTTAAAAGCCGCTCCTAAATGTCTTCTATATTTACTTCTATCGTTTGGTTTGCGAAAAAGCTGGGGATATTATAATCGTTCACTAAATCGAATCAGGCACGTCCACCGGAGTCCCGATAGGGCTCAATTAAGCGCACTGAGCTATCCTGTGAGCGCTCAGGTGCATACTTTCGTTTTAAACTGTGCGATAGACTGTGAATAAGATTGGGTCTTATAGTTGAATCAGTAGCTTTTATATTTGCATTTTAATTTGTGTTTATGTTCTGCGTTATTGTTTGCATTTATGTTTATGTTTGCGTTTGTGTTTGCGTGGTGTTTGTGTTTTTGTTTGTGTAAGTGTTTACGTTTGTGCTTACTTTTGTAATTGTGTTAGTGTTTACACTTTTGTATGTGTTTAATTTTGTGTTTGTGTTTGCTTTTATGTTTGCGGTTATGTTAGCGTTTTTGTTTGTCTTCGATTATGTGTATGCGTTTGTGTTTGTGTTTAGGTTTGCGTTGGTTTTTGTGTGTGGGTTTGAATTTTAGTTTGTTTGCTTTTGTGTGTATGGTTGTGTTTGTTTTTGTGATTGCGTTTATGCTTGTGTTAGTGTTTGCGTTTGTTTTTGGGTTAGGGATTGTATTTTTGTTTGTGTGTACGTGTGTGTTATTTTTTGTGTTTGCATTTGTGTTTACGTTTATGTTTGCGTTTTTGTTTGGATTTAGGTTTGTGTTTGCGTTTGAGTTTTGGCTGGTTGTGGTTGGATTAATTTAAAAAGTAATATATGTCTTAAACCCGGGCAATGCCAGGTACTTGTTGACTAATAAACATACGTCATGGTCCTTTACAGTTAGGTTTTTCACAGAGGCCAGTGTAGGCCTTGCTGGAACGGCTAGTTCCCTACATAAAGTACTTATTTTCCGTACTT